GGGGAGAGCAGCTAGGAGGCAGTAAGAAAGAGAGAGAGGAGAGAACCTTTTTGCATTTTTTCTATTAAGTTTAACCGTAAACCATTAAATTTTACTCCCTCCGGTCCATTTTAATTAATTTTTTGACTTTTTTTTGTGGTCCAAAATATTTAATTTTTTCAAATATCAAAAAGGAATTAACTTCTTTTTTTCAAAGTTACCCTTGAAGTAAAGAGTCTAGAAGTGTTTGTTATATTTTCAATTAACAAATTAAGGTTAATATGGTCAATTTTATTGTTAATTAATGCTAAAAGGTGAATTACTTAATATGTGTATAAAAAAAAATTAAAAAATCAAATAAAGTGTACCGAAGGGAGTAGCGTTTAGGACAAAAAATGTGTATATTTTGCATTTATTAAAAGACTATTTATGTTAAGTGGTATATATCAAGTATCAAAATAGTCCAAGCCTCATACATTAAGGACCGTTTTAATTATTTTCCCGTATAGGTTCGTCGCCTCACATGCATAGTCACTCTTTGCACTCATATCATTTATTAGTCTTTATCCAGTTAGTATGCTTACCTTTAGGGGGGAAATACACTTCTAGAGGTCAAAGACTCAACATACATATATACACAACGGCTTTACCGTGTCAAACATCTCTAATCTATGCAATATATGAATTAGCAGAGTTTATAATACTCATACGACTTATCTTAAATTAGATTTTGGTCAAAATTAGATTTAAAGTTCAACTCTCGGACAATGGGTTAAAATAAGACCTAAACCTTTTATCTCGTAAGGGGTCATTTGATTACCGCGATAAGGAATTAATCCCTATATAAAATTTAGGGTTATAGTATCCCATATTTGATTGTGGATATTAGTTAATACTGGTATAATATAATTTTATACCAAAATACTGATATTAGTTATCCTATATAGGAGGTGAGATAGTTAATCTCACTGGAGATCCCATGATTATAATAACATGAGATATTCCAGAATTGAACCATACGACCCTAAGTATTACACCAAAAAATAGACAAAAACTAACCACATCCAGGGTATGTTTGGTACGAAGGAAAACGTTTTTCAATTTTTTCATGTTTGATTGGCTTAAATATTTTAGAAAATATTTTCCTCATTAACTCATTTTCCTCCAATGGGAGGAAAATGTTATCCCTATCAAGATAAGGGAAAACATTTTCCAACCTTCCTCTCATTCCCCATCCCCACCAATTCCCCACACCTATCCCACCCCTCCCCTAACCCATCCACCCATCCTCCCCCAACCCTGCCCTATCTACACCCTAAATAAAAATATTATTAAGAATACTTTCTTTTCATGTTGTAGATAGAGTTTTTTTTTTTTATTTCAACAAAATGAGTATTTTTTTATCATGATATTAAAAAAGTATTTTGTTTCATTTCAATAAAAAAGTACTTTCTTTTCATGATGTAGAAAAAATATTTTCTTTCATTTCAACAAAGAAAGTACTTTCTTTTCATGATGTTGAAAAAGTAGTTTCTTTCATTTCAACAAAATGAGTATTTTCTTTTCATGATATAGAAAAAGTATTTTCTTTCATTTCAACAAAATGAGTATTTTCTTTTCATGATATAGAAAAAGTATTTTCTTTCATTTTAACAAAATGAATACTTTTTTTTAATGTTGTAGAAAGAGTAATTTTTTTTTCAAACAAAAAAAAAGTATTTTCTTTTTAGTTATGTAGCACAAATTTTAACATTATTTTTAAGTGAAAAAGTAAAGCAGCACATTAGTCCCTTTTGAGTTTGTGTGAATTTTTAAAAGAATAATTAAATTCTTGAAGAAAATAGAGTTCTGAAAACGTTGGGTATTTAGAATAATTGTGGGGGGGGAGGGGGGCACATGAAACATGGGGATTTGGAGGAATGGGGGAAGTAAGGAAAATAGCATAAAAAATTATTTTTCTAAAAAATATTTTCTATTCTCTAAACAAACACTAGAAAATATTTTTCGAAAAAAGTTCTTCACTCACCAATCAAACATGGAAAAATAAGGAAAACATTTTCTAAGAAAACATTTTCCTACGCACCAAACACACCCTCGATGTAATTACGTTGCAGATGCAGATTAGTATTTTTCAATGGCACTACATGCACTTTTAGATTTCATTACATCTTGGTAACATTCATCTCAATGATGAAATAAATCTAGTCATACTTTGCGCTCAAAATGTTTGTAGTCAATGCACTCAATGTTTATAATCAACCGAGAAAATGAACTCCAGTTGTTAATGAAAGTTTTTCACGCAATCGTAAAAAAGGTTTGACAAGTAATTAGATTATTTATTCTTAGAAAAGTACTACCGCTCGTGGCTTTCGTAGGTATACAAACTCGTTCATATATAAAGGGATCATTTCTCACTTTTCTCTGCACCACAATCTTCAAGTTCTAGCTTCAAAATTGACATCAACTACGTAGGTTTCTTCGTTTTGGAAATGGGAAATCAAGTTTTCCTATTTGCTTGCACAATGGCTCTTCTAGCTTCTTATTCCTCATTGGTTTCAGCTGAAGTTGTTAACCATTCTTTTCATGTACGTATAATATACGTAGTTTTTTTCTTGATTTCTCATGAAAATAACACTGTCTTTCTTTCATATAAATGCACGAACCAATTAAGATTTTTCATTTGTACCCTGTTTAATTCTTTCATAAAAGGCAAACCTTTTTTTTTATCCAGTATTATCTATGTTTTTATTGTTTCTTTCGATGTTCAGATGATAAAGGATAAGTTACAAAATAGGATTTGGTCAAATTTGATTTCCACCATTTATGTATTATCTCTACTAATCTGAGTTGATCAAATATGATTGAGTTAATAGTTCCGTGTTGAATATAAGTTGCAAGTACCTTAGACGTTTTAATATGATAAAAATAAGTATCCCATTGACATACTTTAAAATAATAAATTCATAAGATATTAAAAATAACTAATAATGCAGTAACAGTTTAGTTATAATTTTTACCATGTTATAAATTAATACTTATTATAGAAATTTATTTGTAATTAATTTATAGGTGACATGTATGTTTACTGTATGAAATTTAATAATGTGCTATAATGGTCGTTGTTTTTAATTGATAGCCATTAATACATTATTTCCATTAATAAATTTTATGTACTGATGGTGCAAAAGATATCTACCAAATGAAGTCACGTTATTCTGTTATTAATACACTTGCTTAGAGCAACAAAAGAAACCAAAAAAAGGGAGAGGTTAATTTTTTTGGCAAATGGAAGAGGTTGAATAAACGTGCCTAAGATTTTGACTAGGGGAAGAGTCAACGGCACTCTTGTTATTAAAAACAAATGAGAATTATCTTCAGCTAACTTTCTTGTTTCATAAATAAAATTATAAATGCAATTTTCTTTCCTTCAATTGTAAATAATAACAAAAATTGAATCACTCGATTTACGAAAGTGGACAAGAACACTTTTCTTTTCAGAGATTCATGAAAAAAAAATCAATTGTTTGAAAAACATTTGATACCTAAAAAAATATAGGAAAACACAAAATTTGAAAGCAGTAATAAAAATGGATGGTAAAGCTTTATAGTAGTAGTAGGTAAAGATGGAGATGAGAGCATTCAAATTTTCCAAATCAACATTTGTTTAAAACAAGTTATAAATATTTAGGATATAAATTATCTTATTGTGAGTAAAAAGATTAAAATTAAATATTTTAAGTAAAAAAGTATGATATTACATAAATTGAGACTTAGAAAATACAAATACAAATAAATAAATAAATAAATAATATTTGTGGAAGTGGCAGACAGAGGAGGAAGCCGATAGGATCACAGCGTCAACTGGATATTGAAAGGCTTTCTTGACGTCAAATTTCACCCCCCCCCTTTTACCCACCCCCTCTCCCCACCCTCTTTCTCTACATATTTTTAAGTATTTCATTCATTTTCCATTCTTAAAATCCCCCATCCCGCCGCTATTTAAAGCCTCCTTAAACCTCCTCCTCTTCCCCACCACCATAACCAAGAATTCTATTATTTGCACAAAAATAGTCTCACAACACAATTCTTACTTTTGAAAAAAAAGCACATTTTTTTGTATCAAATATATAAGAAAAGCAGGAATTTTTTTTCAGATACCCAATTCAGCAAAAAAGATGTTAGCGTGTTTAGTTGAAAGATTTGTGGCTGAGAATGACGCTGATTCAATACCTGAACCTGAAAAAATCGACGACGGCGTTTTGAAAGACTTGGACATTGAAGGAAGCATTGATTATGGACTCACGGTTACCGGTTTAGCCGGTAAAGATTTTGGCGGCATGTATGCAGTGAAGCCGTTAGCCGTTATACGTCCGGCCGGTGCCGATGACGTCGCGCGGGTGATTAGGCAAGCGTTACACTCACCATCATTAACGGTAGCGGCGAGGGGTAACGGTCATTCCATTAACGGCCAAGCTATGGCCCACCATGGACTCGTTATCAATATGAAATCAATGGGCGATAATAACAGAATCGACGTCAGCGTCTCCGCCATGTACGCCGACGTAGGTGGCGGAGCATTATGGGCTGATGTCTTGAAACGCTGCGTTTTGGGATATGGCTTGGCTCCTACCTCGTGGACGGATTATCTTGATTTAACGGTCGGAGGTACTTTGTCTAACGCCGGCGTCAGTGGCCAAGCTTTCCGTTATGGACCCCAAACGTCAACCGTAACGGAATTGGAAGTGGTTACCGGAAACGGAGAGAGAACCGTCTGCTCAAACTCTCAAAATTCTGAACTCTTCTTCTCTGTTCTTGGCGGACTTGGTCAGTTTGGTATCATCACTAGAGCTCGGATTTTGCTTCAACCCGCCCCGGATATGGTTTGTACTTTTAATTTTATTTACTTAAAGAACACAATTTTTCTGAACAATTCCTATATAAAATCAATTTTTAACACGTTCACGAAATGTGGTTATTAATTATGGGTTTGTTTTTGTTTTTCGTGAATTAGGTAAGGTGGATAAGAGTGGTATACAGTGAATTCGACGAGTTTACTCGTGATGCTGAGTTACTGGTAATGAGTCCGGAATCGTTCGATTATGTGGAAGGATTTGTGTTTGTGAATAGTGATGACCCGGTAAATGGGTGGCCGTCGGTGCCATTGGATTCAAATCATTCATTTGACCCGACCCATTTACCAACAAACACTGGCCCGGTTCTCTATTGCCTTGAAGTGGCCCTGCATTATCACAACCATGACCATCCCTCCACTGTAAATATGGTAATTCTGTCAATTTCAAAACCTTTTCTTTTTACCCTTTCTTTTAGAAGTAGGAATATTTTTATTATGGCTACCTTATTTAAAGTTTTTAACTTCATATAAGTATACGTAGTTTTTTTTTTTGGGTAATAAAATCACAATTATTAACCAAGGAGTTTTTGACATAGTTTTGACCTAGTTGGCTGCTAAGGGAGGGGCCCCTAATAGATGTTGACCATGAATCAGGGATTGGGTCCCAAAAAGAGGGGAACATAAGATTAAGCTAACACAGTGAAAAGGTCAAAAAGGATGATTCGTTTCCACAATTACATTCCCTAGAATAAATTCCTCTTTATTTAAATGTATGTAAAGTAAAAATTCGAGAAAAGAGGAAAATTTCTTTAAAAATTACACGTGTGCAAAAAGCGGCGTCGAGGGGGTTGGGGTGCCAGTTGGTAGTATATGAGACGACGACGTTTGAAAAGTGACCATACACTGTGTCAAATTTTACGTTAATAGTTTGTAATCTTCCCTTGGATTTTCTGACACAAGAGAACCAACCAGCTTGTTTGAAAGTACCCACAGAATCTAGATTTTATTACGAGATTGACACCGTACTTTCCACTATCTCCCGTCCTTGTCGTTGATGACAAAAGTCCTAAAGCCTGAGGCTAAAACAGTAAATCCGATTAGCTGTCCGTCCTTTTGCTGATCACACCCAGATTTTCATGACGTTCTGCGGTCCCCTACTCCCAATTCTTTCTCTTTTAACAATTTGCCAAATAACGCCATCATTTTGCAGAATCTCCCAATACGATGTCAACGTAACGACAAGAATACCCTTGTTTAAAATTTAGTCCTATATTTTACTTGCAATGTGTTGTTATGTAATATCATTCCTTTTTTTTATTCATGGTAGATGGTGGAGAAATTGTTTGGACGATCGAGATTTATCGAACACTTGAGGTTTGAGATTGACTTGAATTATATGGATTTCTTGTTACGAGTAAAACGCGTAGAACAAATGGCTAGGGATAATGGTATATGGGATGCACCTCATCCATGGCTTAACATGTTCGTTTCCAAGAGAGACATTGCCGCGTTCAATCGAATTGTGTTCCAAAACATCTTAAAAGATGGTATCAATGGTCCTATGTTGACATATCCTCTCATCCGAAGCAAGTAAGTAGTACATTTGTTTTCCTACATTTCTTATGCTTTTAATCATGTTTGTGAATCGAAAACTGAATGGTTTTTTTTTACAAGAAGTTAACTTTTGATTGACCCAAAAATTGGATTTCTTATTATTAGTGGGAAAGGATCTATCAACCATTATCAATCACCCATCACTCTTTCACTAAGACCACAAATGGCACTAAGAAAACCTAACTTATGGTTTTGAAAAAAAAAAATTGTTCACCGGGGACAAGCTTAATTGGCTCTGTTGGTGCCACGTGGAAGCACCAGGAGCTCAGATGGTGACGTGTATTGGGACCACAGAATTAGACATCACGCGTGGCAAACCCATTGGGCATGGGTCCCATTTGGTGACGTGTCTTCTTTTATTAATTATAGGAAACGGACTACCTGATTCCAATCCAAAATCCGTTGGTTAAGATTTCTGAAGAAGTTAGGTCATTACTCTTTTCTTCTCCTAGAGTGGGTCCCATTTTTAAAAAAAATTCACACTCAGCCCCTATAGTTGCAACCGTTGTACATCCTGCTGTGTGGCTTGTACTTGATCAGTGCGTCTGCATCGACTCTAATGCTTTGGTGGCACAAGATATCATTCCTGCTCTTCTGAGTTCTAACTAACGTAATACTCCGGAGAGTACTTTGGGACAAAGATACGGTGGGCCCAACTAGTTGTTACTTTTGTTACAAATATAGTACTCCTATATTAACTTAGATTAATATTTTACTGCTAATATTTTTAACTTTTTTACCCTGGAAATATATGCCTCAATATGATAAATGTGCTTACGGGTCATATTTGTCATTTCAAATTAGTGTTCAGCTATAAAAAATTGGATAAGTCTAGGTTTTTGGGAGGATATTAGGTCTTTTAGTAGAAAAGGAGATATGGAGTACAGCAGCTTTCAGGGTCAGTTTTTAGCCAATATAAGTGACGACAAGGATATTAATTCGCCAACCCGATTAATAGCGACACCATCGCTTGTCTTCTTTCCTCTCCTCAACTACTATTTCAGTTGGGCCAAACTATCCTTGTTGTTTCTTGTGTCATTTAATTTGAATTTTTGTTTGGCTTTTATTTATCGACATACGTAGATTAACATGAGGTGTAAAATTTGATGCCCAATAATTAATTTATTGTAGCTTTTCTATATATAGTCTTGGGACAGTGTGACCTATAGGTCATGGGTCGAGTCATAGAATCAATCACTGACCTTTGTATTGGGACAGTGTGACCTACACCCCCTTAGGGTACAATCCTTCCTCGGATCTTTCATGAACGCGGAATACTTCGTGCACCAGGCTATCTTTTTTAGTCCGTTGTAAACCTAATTGAATGCATTAGTAAACTAATTAATTCAAATCAAACTGATACACTAAACTTTCCCATTAGGAAATTTTATTATTTATATAATGCAATTTGTTTTTTGTGGCTATACTCGCTTCTTATAACTTTCTTTTGTGAATTAGGTGGGATAATCGATCATCAGTGGTGTTACCCCAAGGTGAAATATTTTACTTAGTGGCTCTGCTTCGGTTTAGCCATGCACATCCAAAAGAGTCTGAAATAAACGAGATGGTAGCACAGAACCAAGAGATCTTGCAAACTTGCATAAACAATGGGTTTGATTTCAAGTTGTACCTTCCGCATTACAAGTCAACAGAGGAATGGAAGAAGCACTTTGGGGATCAATGGGGAAGATTTGTAGAGAGAAAGAGCCAGTTTGATCCAAAGGCTATCCTTGCACCTGGCCAAAAAATATTTACTAGAAACCATCTACTCTAATAAATATCTACGTATTACTTTGTGGTAGGTCAATTGTTTTTTTTCTCCATTTAGAGTCTTTTCCCTTTTCATTGGATATCGCAATTGTTACGAAACAGCTCTAAAAGAATGTAAATGAAAAAGTTGAAGGATGTTCCTCATCTTTGTCTTCGTTTTTTTTTCCAACATAACACTGTTAACATATGAAATACTAAAGCTTAGCGGGGCTACTGATTTAAGAAATTATTACTTAGAATTCAAACTTGTGTCATGATCAGGGCATAGCTAGGTTAGTGGAATGGATTCATTTCAACCTTCTTTGTCAGAAAATTATATTAAGTTTAAGATTATTTTTTATGTATAAATAGTAGATGTTGAATTTTCATGACATATTCATGTATTTACTTTTTAATATTTTAAATTTTTCTTGATTATAATTCTGATTCCGCCACTGATCGTGATATATCGAAATATGGTTTTCGTGATAATTGGCTAGTTCTTGTGACAAAGTCTGTCACGGTTCTTGCTGACATTTTATCAGGAGACCATAGCTGACATTTCCCCATATGGTCTCCTTGTTCTCACGTTCCTTTCTCCAATAACATTACTAAAAAAACGTACGTGTTAATGCCTTTTAAGCACAATAAGGAAATTACTAAGTTCTTTGGCTGACATTTATAACAAATCAAAATTGGTTTTAACTACAAATTCGTAGCAAGATTGTTGTTTTACCAGTGATGGACTTGCTTTGTCCAATTTGAATTCTATCCATTAAGAATAAGAATACCACGTCCCTTTCTGTTGTCATACAACTCTGGAGATTTTTGAATGGGTCTTATCAGGGGAAAAAAGACATAGCTGACATTTTATTTTTTCCTGGTTTAGCTCTCCAAATTGATTTCCTGTTCATCTTTGTGACAAATAAGTCGTAGAATTTACTAATTTGAGTAAGTAAGTAGTATTCCATTTGTTTCAATTTACCTGAATGTTTTTGGAGTACAAGGGTCAAATTGACTAGGTTCGTGACATAGTATTTTTATTTTTTTTAAATAAAATTTAGTATATTTTAAAAACTACATAAAAACCATTATAAATCACAATAGTTAACAATTCAAGATATTTAAAAAGTATTTGAAAAAAATATGATTAAAAAAAACCTTATTCGACCCCCCAAATATATATTGGTTCACATGAATTGAAACATAGGGATTAAATAATCACTAAAGTGAATTTCCTTAATATTCAACTGAATGATTTAAACTTTCAACTTAATCTTTTTCAAAGAGTAAATATATTGTTAAACTAAATATCTTTATCAACTAATTCAACTTTTAATTTTTGTTTAACTTTCGTTTAGCCATTCCAATAATATATACTCATTAGTGCTAATATCTTTGCTGTCCAATTCAACTTTTAAGTTTTTTAGTCCATTAAGAAAAAAATTACACTTTCAAAAAGATTTAAAAAGAAGTCTCAAACGAAACTGTAGAAAGATATACTATTATTTAAAATTACTTAGCTGTAAAATAAGTAGGCTACTAAGAAAAACTTGTACAGATATATTCCAAATTGTTTTACAGGATCAGTCAGAGATTACCAAACATCAGTCAGCACATATTCCAAAGGTCTACACTTATCCAAAAAGGAGAAAAGAAATGAAAAGAAAGCTCACAGTTTCTCAATTTCAACTTTGAAAATATGGATGGATATAATGTTCGAGTCTATGGAACCAGCTGCTGCTTAAGCTTTTGGTATCAGATTCTCTTTTCATTTCATGCAAAAAACAACAAATATTTTTAGCTTTTTTAGACGATTTCCTTTCACTCCTTTTTCTTCCCTTTCTCTTCTTTTCTTCTCTTTTCCTTTTCTCTTTACTTTCCTTTTCCTTCCTCGGGCTCTGCTTCAACTATGTTCCATCTCCATGCACGTGTATAAACTCCAAAATCTACTTGGTTTATTCACAAAATTATCCTCCTTAGTCCTTTCCCTATTTTTCTTTTCCACTTTCTCATAAAAAGATGGGAAACAATATTAGAACAAGGAGGGTTGTTGGATCCAAATCAGGGGCGTAACTAAAGCCAGATTGAAGATTTAAATTTAAGGATTTCAGCTTTTAAGATTTTAATATTAAATTTATTGTACTATTAAAATTACAGATTCAAATCTAATACTTGTTGAGATTTTATTAAAATTTTACTTATAAATTCATACTTTGTATCAAAAGTTATGTGTTTAGTTAAATTTGTGGCTGAAAGACTATATCCGCTCTACGTGGAATTGGGGGTGCAAGGGTGTTCTTCAAAACTCCTTCTCCGGAAATTGCAGTATATATATAGTTAATATTATTTTTTATGTATATATAATAAATGTTGACAGAGGCAGAGTCCTGATTTGAACCATATGGGTTCAGAATTGTAATCATTTTAAGTTATTGAGTTTTTAAATTAATTATTTATATATATCTAATAAATTTCTTTAAATAAATATAATATTTGAACAAAAATTATTGGGTTCGAATGAACTAGCATTCCACCTCGGCTCTACCCCTGGATGTTGAATTTTCTAGGCTTTTTATATGTTCATTTCCTTATATTTTGAATTCCTTTAATAAAAATTGTGGCTCCTCTGCTTATCCAAATAAAGCAAATAAGATCATGATAAATTTCTTGTAAAATGAGACGGTCCAATCAAAAAACCCTTCCTGTTTTAGTTCCATGCATAAAGTATCTGATACGTTCTCCGGTTACTGTGTCATGCATCGACGTTCTTTTTTGTTACCATATAAAGCTTTCAAAAAGTAAAGTCTGTACTTTATTTTCACCCACAAGACTTGTTGGTTAGAGAGCCAAATACACGTTAATACCATTTTGTTTGTCTGGTTAAGTACATGTTACACCACAAGATTTAGAACATTCTAATTCAAAACAAATACTCTCTCGGTTTCGGTTTTACGTGAACCTATTTTTTTTGATTCGTTTAAAAAAAAAAAAATTAAATTTAAAAATAATTTAGCTTAAACTTACTATTTTATCCTTAATTAGAAATTTTTATAACCACACAAATTTTTTGGGTACTTTTTAATTTGTTTAGGACCACAAATTCTAAAAAAAATCTTCCTTTTTTTTTAAACTACGTTTCCAGTCAAACAACTTCACATAAATTAGAACGGAGAGAGTAAGAGTCACGTACTAGCTCTTTTTTGTGTGGATAGAATGCCATTTAAAAGGTGCAACCATTATATCCGTGAATTAAAGAAAAAATCTTATAAAACAAAATTTTAAATTCCAATTAAAGTGAAGATATAAATGACAATAAAGGGGTCAATTAAAACTTTCAAGTGTCAACAAATTATAGTGATTCTTTGTTAAAGTTTTAAAGAAAATTAGGTTATAAAGAGAATACTCACAATTATAGTATGAGAAACTATATATCCATATGGTTAGCTAAATTTGATGGTTTCCAGCTTTGGAATTTGTATCAGTCTCGAGAGATTCTTGTGTTTATCTTTTCTTTGCTTTATCTATCCTTAAAAGAATCACTTTCTTTTCTATATAACAACTCATACTAATATATTTTTACTTTTATTATATTAGGTTGTTGGGGGTGCCCCTTTTTTTTATCTTTTTGTGGGAAATAGGGAGATGCTTTGACTGAAACAACGTATGAGTGCAATATCCCCAAGACCCCAACCTCAAACAGAAAGCTAAGTTCCTCTTTCTATTGGGGGACGTGGAGGATGGGAAGATTTTGAGTTTCTTCATTTTCAAAGTGAATATATTTGGGGAAAGTAAAAGGAGTGAAAAGGAAAACTCTACACTAACTTTTTGATGATATTATTCCCTCTTTATTTTTTGTGACTATTGTTCAAGATTCTCCAATAATGAAAACAATATCGTTATCCTTAGCAAGAAATGATGTATAGTCATGAGTCATATCATGAAAATGCCCACATATTTAACAATGATGCTAAGTTATAAATTTTACAATGGATTTTATGATATATTCTTTCATACATATTTTTTATTACAAAAATGTTGTGATCTTTAGCCAAACGAGCAATAATAGTTCCACTTGGTTATGTGATTTGGAAGGCGAAAAATCAAAATATGGGAAAGCGACTATAATACAACTACTTATCACTATTTTTTTTCAATTAAATGTATTTTGACCTATCTAAATATAAATTGTGACAGTTTGGAATAAACTCCACGTGATACACTAGAAACGTATCTATCCTCTTTTTGGACCAATCACTTTTTTGCTATTCAAATGAGTGATGAAAAGTTATATTGGGCATAGGTATGTGACTTCTAAGCTAATCATTCACAGAGAAATTAAAGAAAATCCAATTATAGTGAAACATGCAAAACTCATGAATATCAGCTGGCTTCTTTTCCTCCAATAAACAAATAAGAGCACAGGGACCATTGTTGTAGTATGCACACTTTCCCTATACACATTATATATTGAATTAATTATAGAAATACAAGTGCCACAAAATTTAGTAAATTAGGTACTTTCACATTTAAATATTTGTATTTGATTTAATGTCATATCTATTCATACCTTGTAATGATTGGAAATGATATATCCTCTATATCTTTCTTTTGACCCCAACCCCAACCCCCCC